GAGCGAACACTACACATTTAAATAAAAAATTATTTTTTAAATTTTGAGTAAATTATATTTATGCAAATATATTACTTTATTTTATATTCTCGACGTTTCGATTACTCTACAGTACCCATGGTCACACTGGTTGAGGGGAAGGGGGGGGGGGATGTTTGACGTCCAAATGTCAAAGTGTGATCTACGCATTATGAACGTATAGTATCTTGAATATAAAATTTTGCTAAATATATAGTTATATATATATATATATATATATATATATATATATATATATATATATATATATATATATATATATATATATATTTCCGAAATTTAGCTCGAAAATACAGACAGACAAAAACTTTAAAATTAGTTATTCATGACTTGATTGACAAATAACCACCTTATATCAATACAACTTATATCAGTAAAAGTATACGTTTTATAAGTGGTAGAGCAGTTATATTAGTCGTATAGTTGTAGCACGAATGGGTTGGCTCAACCGGGGAAGGACCACGCTCTCACAGAATACCAGCGTGAAATAGTAGCTTAACGCTGCTGTGTTCAGTATGGTAAGTGTGGAGAACCGGAGACAGTTTTTACCGGAAACGAGGCATTCCATCTTAGTTCTCAAGTGTGACAACGCATCTGCATTTTGATTCGTAATCGAGGACAGATATGGATGTCTATGGACCACAGCAACCACTTACCATCAGGTGGACTGTGTGCTCGTTTGTCACCCTTATTCTATAAAAAAAAGTTATTTTGATAGTGCAAACAGATACCTCAATTTTATTTCCATGTATATATTAAGCCGTAACCATAGTAGAAAGATAGCAGGATAGTATTTCTACTATACCGTAACAATGGAAAAAAGCGTATGTTTATTTAACAGATTACAGAATTAAATTGCTTAGTGTTCATATTCAAAAGGGCTTCACAATGATGGTAGTTTTCATTGAAGTGTTCCGTGCCTGATTGGGAGAGACAGAGCAAAATTATTATTGATGCCTAAACTATGCTCAACTTAGTGATGCACTCACTCACACACACACACACACCCACACACACACACACACACACACACACACACACACACACACACACACACACACACACACACACACACACACACACACAAAACAACACCTTTCTTCTTTCTTTCTTTATCAGGCTGTAAGAGTTCAGGGCTGGAAGCACAACATATGCAGCTATAATCGTGTTGTTGGTTGCAAACGACTTAATATGCGTATGTGTACGTGAGTGCGAGTCCCTGCAATAACGTGTTTTTGTCTTGGTTTTTACGTCATTTGAAATATATGTGGCACTTCGATCTTCTTTCTCTATTTTTCTGTTATGTAAAAGTAAGTATGATTATTGAACACAGTAAGTAGGCGCTGTGGCCCATAGATATTAACATCTGTATTAAAATCAAATTGCAAATCTTTGTCAATCCTGAAAAATAAGATGAAAAACAAATTAAATATTTATTTGCATTAAATATGGTAAACTACATGGAAACAGTTATTTACAGATTCCCACATTTAGTCCTTACATACATGCAAAACACTGCACAAAAATAACATATGATGAAAAAATAAGAGGTCCCCACTACACCATACGAAACCGCAGTATTTGCTGGTATTCTATGGAAGCGTGATCCTTCCCCGGTTGAGCCAACCCATTCATGATGCAGCCTAATACAACTGCAGCGTTGCAGATTTTGTTACATAAATGACGAGGTCTCCACAATTCCATGAGCTATCCAGAATACGATAAAAATCATAAAAACTGACTTATACTAATATTCCAAAACTCAAGCGTTTAAAAAAGCAGATGTGCAACTTCCCCTTAAAAACAAAACCCAAAAATAACAAAGTATGATCGCCAACAGACGCTGCGCGTGCGTCGATTTCGTATCGATCGATTGATTTACACGAACCTCCCTACTTTTTATTCTTCAATACAAATTCAACCTTATGATTAAAACATACAGTGTATTTTGCAACAGCGAAAAGAATCAATTTTAAAGTGAAAATATCAAGAGCGAAAAAACTGTGTTATCTTTTACGCTACCTACTCAGACTTAATTATGAAATAAACCAAGGTAACCTACATCGTTGCTTTTTAATTATCAACTTTATATGTGTGAAACAAGAGTTGAAAATACATATATATTCATGAACTTTATTAAGCCCACAGATATAGAGACAAGCTCTGTCCACGATTTCATAGTGATTTTTTCTATAGAATATTTTTAAGTGTTATAAATAATACCTATACCACAATAATACATTAAAGAATACATGATCAGTCATGATTATTATCATCGTCTACCTATCAAAATTCACAGCTGAACGTAGTCCTCCACTATGGAGGCGTTGTCACCCGTGAGGACTAAGACGGAATGCCTCGTTTCCAGTAAAAAGGGTCTCCGGTTCTCTACACTCACCATACGAAACACAGCAGCGTTAAGCTACTATTTCACGCTGGTATTTTGTTATGGCTCTTCCCCGGTCGAGCCGATCTATTTGTGCTACAACTATACTGCTAATATAACTGCAGCATGGCTCTACCACGTATTATTACTTCTTCTTTTTCATGATCTCATAAAAGTGAACGTCTTCACGGTTATGATTAACCATCTCATTCATAAGTGTTATGGTGTAGTGGTGCATTGCCATAGTTGCCACGGTTGGCAGGAGAGTTTGGCAACCGCCCTTTTTTATTTTATTGAGTTGTTGTAAGGAAAACGCTGGTATTTCTCCCATTGTATGTAGTGAATATTCTTACACCGCCAATTAGGGTTGCCAGATTGTCGGGTTTCGTCTGGATTTAGAGACGACAGAATTAAAAATCTCCAGACAAACAGCTCCTCGGAAAGTTAATGTATGGCCTTTGATTTAATAAAAGCTGAGTTAGTAATTTGACCGAACTTTGAAGTAAATTATTTGAATTTTATATATTATCTGAATACTACTAAAGGATTTAAATTGCTGGACTTTAGTAAAGTCCAATGTTTAAAATAGTTTTGTAGCCTCTTAATTTGAAAAAAAACTTTTTACTTTTAATATTCATTTCTACCGACATTAACCCCAAAATCCTGACTTTTTCAAAATTTGTCCAGCTATTTTAGTCTACCGATCTGGCAAACCTACCGCCACTACACTATAACACTTATGAATGAGATGGTGGACCATAAGATGTTCACTATTACGAGCTGATGAAGAAGAAGAAGTAATAATACAACTTTTATAAAATCGATGTCACAGTCCACCTGATGATGTGTGGCTACTGTAGCCTTTGGACACCCGTCGCTAACTTATGTTTATAAAATAAGGCTGGCAAACGAAAACACATTCCCCATAGATATCTACATTTATCCTCGATTAAAAATCAAAATTCAGATGCGCTGTCACCCCTGAGGACTGTTAACTAGATTAACTAGTTGACCTATGTAGTTGACCTGTTGTCCTGCTGATACACTAGAAGGGTTGTTGGTAAATAAAACGATCCGCAACAGTATATGATCTAATTTTGTCTATATATTTACTATATTTTCAGTGCCTTTTATAATAAAAATTGACATAACAACGTCAACGTCATTTCTCAAAAAAAAGAACTAAATCTTTTTTAAAATTCAAAAATATGTTTTCTTCATAAATTTGGAATATACTGGTGTATAAGTATATATATCATAAACAAGGACTAAGATGGAATGCCTTGATTGCATTAAAACGCATCTCTGGTTATATATATGTATAAGATAAGGATATGAAAAATATGAATACGGATAAGGAAATGACATTTTTACGTGGTAGAGCCATGCTGCAGTTATATTAGCAGTATAGTTGTAGCACGAATGGGTCGGCTCGACCAGGGAAGGACCATGCTCTCACTGAATACCAGCGTAAAATAGCAGCTTAATACTGTTGTGTTTGGTATGGTGAGTGTAAAGAACCGGAGACCCTTTTTACTGGAAACCAGGCATTCCATATTAATCCTCAGGAGTGACAACGCATCTGCATTTTGATTCGTAATCGAGGATAGATGTCGATGTTTATGGGCCACAGCATACACTTACCATCAGGTGGACTGTATGCTTGTTTGTCACCCCATCCTATAAAAAATGACTAATATGAAATAAAAGTTTCAAATTGTTATTTGAACTTTTTACGTCCCACTACTGGACACAGTCCTTATCACATTTCTGAGAGGGATTAAGATAAGGAAATGTCATTTTTACGTGGTAGTACCATGCTGCAGCTATATTATGGTTGCAGCACAAATGGGTAGGCTCGACCGGGGAAGGACCATGCTCTCACGGAATACCAGCGTAAAATAGCAGCTTATTGCTGCTGTGTTTCATGTGGTGAGTGTAGAGAACCGGAGACCCTTTTTACTGGTAACGAAATATTCCATCTTAGCTCTCTTGGGTGACAACGCATCTGCATTTTGATTCGTAACCGAGGATAGATGAAGACTCAGGTGAACTGTATACTGGTTTGTCATCCTTATTCTATAAAAAAAATGTCAGCCACGCTGCCCCAATGCATATTGGCGGACTTCACATGTCTACGAAATATCGAATGGTTCCCTCAATATTTTCGCCCAAAAAGTTTAAGACCAAAAATAAAAGTATGGACAGCTGCATGAAATTACATATCGTTGACACCAGCCCCTATGCAATGTCAATAAAAATAAATATATACACCAGAGTGCTTTAAATCTTTGCCAGAATGTATCAGAAGCATTGAAAGCCTAAAAAAGTTCAAAAAGGAAGTTAATACATAATAATACTTTTTCGTTAATACATATTTAACGAAAAAGTATTATTACTCGTTGTAGGAGGTTTTTAGTGATTGTGTATGAAATATGAATATTCATTAATTGATAATTCAATTAATAATACCAAATAATGTAAATCTAATAATAATATAAATGAAAATCGGCCGCGACTTCCCCGCATAGCCCTAAGCAAGCGGAATCGAGCTGTCGTGAGGGCTCTGAACCCAATGCTGGTGACCTATTTGGAAGACAGCCGGGACCTTTGCGAGACGGACTCAATTCTTTTTGGCGCCGCGCTGGCAGTGTGCCGTATTATAAGCTCCAAACTTTCCACGGCTGGACGCGCTACTGGACAAAGTAGCGCTATCCCAGCCTGGAGAATAAGAATTGAAGAACGTATCGCAAAGGCTAGGGCCCTCATCGGCAGACTGATATGCTTCAGGTCAGGCAACAATAGACCAAGGATTGTGCGCACCGTCAGGATGGCATTTGCTGGGACAAATGTTAATTTGTTTCAGCCGGATATAATGCAAAAACTGACGAAGCGCATAGATGACCTGAAGCAGAGAATCGCTGCTTGGGGAAAGCGGATTCGGCGATATACCGAGAGGTCGACACGGTTTAACCAGAATCGTCTCTCCCAAGGCTCTAATCTTGGAGCACCAATGTTAAGTGGAACGGCCCACACCAAATCAGCCACACTGTAGCATTCTGGCGCGGCCTGTGGTCAGAGCCCATAAACCACAGCGAGGGCCCTTGGACGGAAGTTGTGGCGAGTCAGTGTGTGAGTATAACGCCCATGGACCCCGTCATTATAACGCCGGATGACGTAGCTGAGGCGGTCCGTAGGGCCCCGAACTGGAAAAGTCCGGGACTCGACGGGCTGCATCACTACTGGCTGAAGGGGTTTGTGGTGTGTCACACTGTGCTCGCCCGACAGTTCCAAGAGGCTCTCAACCAGAAGTCGCTCCCGAGCCTCTTCACTACTGGGATCACGCATTTGGTTCCTAAAGACCAGGTTACCACAGACCCGAGCAAATACCGCCCCCATCACGTGTCTGCCGACCATATACAAGATACTAACATCCATTTTGAGCGCGAGAATCACTCGTCATCTGGAATCAAATCAGGTGACGTCGCGCGCTCAAAATGGATGTCGGGGCGGCGGTTGTGGAACCAAGGAACCACTCCTCATTGACGCGGTCATTGGCAAAGTGGTGAAACGCAACCGTCGGAACTTCTCCGCCGCCTGGATAGATTACAGAAAGGCATTTGACTCGGTGCCCCATACATGGCTAAAGAGGGTCCTCGAGCTGTACAAGATTGACTGTACAGTTCGAGACTTCCTCGAGCAGTGTATGGGGCAGTGGAGTACGATCCTCTGTCATCTAGGCGAGCGGATGACGGCTGCGGAAAGCCGCATAAGGATAAGAAGGGGTATATTCCAGGGCGACTGTCTGAGTCCAATCTGGTTATGCCTCTCTTTGAACCCTCTCAGTACTTTACTGGAGGGTTCCGGGAGGGGATTTCAGCTTTGGAAAGGAGGTACAAAAGTGACCCACCTTTTCTATATAGATGACCTCAAATTATTCGCCTCCAGTCGCTCCCATCTTATGGAATTGCTAAACATCACTTGTGAATTTAGCAATTCTATTGGAATGGAGCTGGGGACGGATAAGTGTGCGGTCCTCCATGTTGAGAGGGGTAGGGTTGCTAACTCTGAGGGCATAGACTTATCTATTCCCGTCAACTTAAGGACCCTTTCCGAGGCTGAAACATACCGATACCTGGGTATGTCACAGAACATCGGTATCGATGAGGCTGCTATGAAACAGTCAGTTTGCGACACGTTTTATGAACGCTTGACCAAAGTGCTTAACAACCTTTTGTCCAGTGTGAATAAGGCACACGCATATAACGGCTGGGTCATGCCTGTCCTCATGATACCTTTGGCATACTCAGGTGAACTCAGACCGAACTTAACACCCTGGATAGAAAAGTCCGCACTACCATGACGTCCCATAGGATGCATCATCCGAGATCGTCGGTAATGAGGCTGTACTTGCCGCAAAAGCATGGTGGGCGTGGCTTCCTGAGCGCGCTCACCATGCATAATCGTGAAGTGTGCAGCTTCCGTAATTACTTCCTGGTGAGATCGGATGATCCATTCTATAATGACATCATTTCTAGTGATAAAGGACTTACCCCTCTATCCTTAGCCAACGAGCAATGTCAAGACTCGGCAGTACAAAGCATTTCCGACCGGGAAACCGTATGGAAGGAGAAGGAGCTCCACGGGAGGTACTACAGGGTTCTACATGAGCCCTTCGTAGATACAGTCGCCTCCCTCAACTGGCTACGTTTCGGTGACCTTTTTGGGGAAACCGAGGGTTTTGTCTGTGCAATACAGGATCAGGTTATTAAGACCAACAACTATCGGAGATACATCCTAAAGGATGGCACTGTCGACGTCTGTCGAGCTTGTCGCCATCCCGGTGAGTCACTTAGGCATGTCATCTCAGGTTGTTCGGCGCTTTCTAACTCTGAGTACTTGCACAGGCACAACCTAGTAGTAAAGGAAAAAAAAAAAATATTTTTGTATTTATTTTATTTTATTGATATTTATGTATATTTATCGTTTCATTTTAATTTATAATTATATATTTATATAACCCAACCAGATGAGAAAACTATATAGATACCCCAAATATAAATGATTGCCAATATTTGCAGTGCCCTTGCAGGGTCCTCGTTTTGAAACATTTTTTTATAATTAAGACCAAATGTATATAACAAAAATAGCAAACGTATTGAATTGAATATATTTTTATTATTTCTCAGACATGCAGGTTTCCTCACGATATTTTCCTTTACCGAAGAGCACGTGCAAGATTTGGCACCAAAAATTACAATTCACAATTTCATTGATGCCGACGGAATCGAACCCGGGTTGCTCACGTACTGTGAAAATTACAGCTAGTGCTTACCTCTGAGCTACCACGGCTCAATATGAAATACCTCTCCCGTAAATATACTCTATAGCCTTAAAAGCAAAAAACAGCAGCAGTGATAGTGCTGCTTGTTGGAATAAATATATAAGAGAGCCACGTTGCCACGCTTTGCAGGAAAGCTAGCGTGAGACACCGCCAACTTCCTGACTCCGGGCAGCTACTGAAAATTTCTTGACGGAAAAACTCAATAACCGAATTTTTTGCCCAATCTGGAATCGAACCCAGGACCTCATGATCAGTAGTCGCACTACTACAACCACTAGATCAACGAGGCAGTCGATATGGAGTAGTACAGTAACTTTACTAATTCAATTTCACGTGGCGGAGCCACGCTGCAGCTATATTAAGGTTGTGGCACATACAGGTCGGCTTGACCAGGGTAGAATCATGCTCTCACGGAATACCAGCGTAAAATAGCTGTTTAATGCAGAAGAGGGCCATAAGAGCAATTTATAACCTAAGTCTGAGGGAGTCTCTTAGAGAAAGAATTTAAGAAATAAATGTATAAACTTTGGCCTCTCAGTACACTTACGAAAATTTTATATATGCACGCAAAAAGAAAAATAGTTTTATTAAAAAGTAATAATAACGTAGTTATAAAATTGCGAAATGAGTAACAATATTAAATTTCAAATCAATCGGGTGTATAGTTTTAAAGATATCGTGCTTACATATTTGTGCATGAAAGTGAAAAAAAAATAAGCAAGATTAGTAGGTAAAATATATTATATATATATATATGTACCTACATTCTACAAACACTAGGAACAAGTACAATCTATTTATACCAGATCCGGTATACATCTATCAAATCCGGTTACAGATTATCAAAAAACTTTTTATAGTTTATAACGCATGATGAAACATTAAAAAGTTTTTTATAGGATATGGGTGACAATCGAACAGTTCACCTAATGGTAAGTGGTTGCTGTGCCCCATATATATTTTCATCTTTCCTCGATTACGAATCAAAATGCATATGCGTTGTCACCCATGAGGACTAAGATGGAACGCCATATTTCCAGTAAAAAGGGTCTCCGGATCTCTATACTCACCATACGAAACACAGTAGTATTAAGCTGCTATTTTACGCTACTATTCTGTGAGAGCGTGACCCTTCCCCGATCAAGCCAACCCATTTGTGCTACAACTATACTACTAATATAGCCGCAGCATGGCTCTACCATGTAAAAAATCTCAGATAAGCTCCTATATAACTTCAAACGTGATGTAGTAAAGTTTAGTAAAGAGTTGTAGATCATGTACAGATCCGCCAGTTACGTTTAAAATAGCTTACAGTACGGGTGTAATGAACCGGAGCACTGGCGCGAATCGTGAGTTCCCAGCCTAGGCCGAACTTTGCTAGAAATCTTTATTGTACCCATAACGTCTTTAAGGGTGACTATACACTTGTGTGATCAATTACTATATATTTAAATATTTCTGACACCGTTACCGTTAACGTTACACCCTATTAAAGTCCACTGCTGAACAGAGTCCTCCTCCTAGATTACCTCATATTTATATATCATTTGCCATAGTTGCCACGCTTGGCAAGCGGATTGGCAATCGCTATTTTTTTAGTCGTTATTAGGAAGACGCTGTTGCCCATCTTTTGATTTGTTTCCCTTTGTCGCTTCTTACGACACCCACGGTATGATATGAGGTAATGGATATTCTTACACCACCACTGCACGGTTGAACTTAATAATTGGATTTAATTTAAATGGTGTCAGATACCAGACAGTGTAGTGGTGGGATAAGAATATCATCTCGTGGGTGTCATAAGAAGCGACAGAGGGAAACATATCAGAAGATGGGCAGACCTATGTTCAGCAGTGGATTTTAATAGGCTGTAACAGACGATTCCTCGTCAATCGTTAAAACAGCAATTAAGGAAACGTAAGAAAATCAACCACTCCATTATGTTACGTGGGGACTAAGAACATTAAAAATGTCTTGTGGCTTCTGATCGATTGTACGTGGTAGAGCCACGCTGCAGCTATACTATGGTTGTAGCACGAATGGGTTGACTCAACCGGGGAAGGACCACTCTCTTACAGAATACCAGCGTAAAATAGCAGCTTAATATTGCTGTGTTTCGTATGGCGAGTGTAGAGATCCGGAGACCCTTTTGGAAACGAGGCATTCCATCTTAGTCCACAGGGGAGACAACGCATCTGGGTTTTGCTTCTTAATCGAGGATAAATATAGATGTCTATGGTTCACAGCATCCACTTACCAGCAGGTAGACTGTGTGTTCGTTTGTCACCCTTATTATATAAATAAAGACAGCGATATACCATCTTGTTTATCCCAGACTTAAAATACTGCAACGTCGAAGGTGTGAAAGGTACTACGATTTTCATTACGTCATATAATTTTTAATTCCTGGTATTGTGAGAAAACCTCTTAAAGCCTGGATTCTTGAATAGCAAGTAGCAAAATAAAGATAGAGAGCATGCTGAGTCCACGAGCCTGCATAAAGCGGCAGAATCGTCTTCATACTGCGTCTTCTTTTTCTTCTTTTTTTGGTAAAAGGAGGCCTGAGAATAAAATTTGAATGCCTCCTAATTTTTGTTACCATATGAGATCAAAAGAATCACGTCGGTCATGGTAGGACAGAAGGCATGAAGAATGATTCCGGTTGCATAACGAACAGTCGAATGGACGAACAACGAACAGAACAATCTTAC